AGTTTATCCCAATCTGACCACTCCACCCATAACCTGTTTTCTTGCCTCATGGTAACCTCCAAAACATCCAAACATATCTGTTATTTTCCCCCACATATCCCCCCTTTGAATCTTTTCAAGATTAACCAAGTTCACTGACGCCGTTGGAGATTCACACTTATCTTGTCTTAGCCTTAGTTACGTTACATGAATGAGTTATGACAACGTTATGTGATATGGTACTACTTGATTGATTACAGATGCATATGTATGTTTTCAAACCAATCCAACTCATGCTTGTGATCACGAATGTTACATTTTCACAAATACAACACTTAAATCACTTGTGACTTGGTTCACATCTGGCAGGGGCGAAAACCTGCTGGCTGCTTTGAGCAGGAAATTCCCCTGCGGCCCCTCCCGCTGGCGACCTTCACCGTGAACCTGCTAAATCTAACAGCTTTTCACTGACCCACTCTACATGACAATCAACCACATGTTTTATTTTGCTCAAAAAATGATTAACCATTTCCTTTACCCGTTTCCATATACCTGGACTGAGTATGTGTAAATGATGTGAGTATGCAGAACACACATGGATAACAACAGAATTTGTGTGTATTGATATGATAGTCCATTTGCTCCGTCGTCCCATTCGCTTTTCCTTTTGCTTGCTCGCTGCTGCTGCACCTCTGCTTCTTGTTTACCTTACACTTGACTCAGTCCGTCCTCATCAGAGTCACCCACACAGGCAGGGTTTGGGTATAAGTCCGTATAGTCCCCATTTCCTGCCCTGCTGTCGTTCAAACGGAGTTGTGCCATTTGGGACGGCGTCAGCAAGTCCAACATTTGAGCTTTTTGGAGACCAGCCACCACAGTCATCTGTCTTTCCAGAGCCCGCAGACACTGCCTCCTCAGGATGGGGATGATGCAACATATCAAAAAGGAAATTAAAATTAGGACTGCTAGTGCACTGAGTCCTATCTTAGCCCAAACGGCTCCCCATTTTCCTAAAATTTGGTCTAACCAATCCCATGACAGTCCCCCCTTGCCCGCACTCTCCCTGAGCTCAACTCTGAGTTCTGTAAGCTTCCCCATTGCTACAGGAAATATACCATCAGGGGCTGTATTATTTGGAATAAAGGTACAACAATGTTTCCCGAACATGTGACATACTCCTCCCCTATCCGCTGTCAGCCAATTCAAAACCTGTCTATTTTGTTGGGCCATTATACTTGCTGCGTGTAACTGAATACCGAGAGCGCTCAGGATCTCAGATGTCGCATTAACAAACCTCTGTTGGTTGTAATAAATGTAATCTATCCATTGGACATTTTTATTAGTGGTGATCCAAGGGAGAATCGACTCTAGACCTACTCTAATCTCATCCTGAGCTTTAAACTCCTCTGGAATTCCTATTGGCACTCCTATACTATTGATGTACACCTTTTCGTCAATCTGCCTTTTATGGCGGCTCAATTTGGCTGTTTCTTCCCAGATTTTAAGGATCTCCTCGACGCCGTCATGCAACACGACAACTGACACTTTCATTCGCACTAATGTACAGAGCCCAATCCATTTTGGTGGAAGTGTGTTTCGCACAATGTCTCCACACATCCAGTAACTGCCAGCTACTGCAACAGTTTGACTTGCGAAAGAAATGCATATTCGGTCTGGTCATAGTTATGTTTTCACATGTTCGATCTAACGTTTGCTCTGGATTTTCAAACCAAACAGGTCTAGTTATAAACGGTTCGCTCATATTAGCTTCAGGAAACCATGACAATACCCACGTAATTTTACAGTTAACAGTTATGTTTTGGTATGGAATGTTTATGTGTTTGAGCTCAGCTGAGAGTGCTGGCTCAGAGTTTAGCACGTCATGGATTGGTGTCTGTGTGGTTGCATCATACTCATCTGATTCAGATGCTCTGTCTCCTCTGTCGTGCGGGTTGGTCTCTGGCGTGGCTCTGGTCCCCGGGGTGCTCTGTTTTCCCCTTTGAGTCTCTAGCTCCACTGCTTCTACAGGCATCCATGGAAGAGAGTTCATTACCACCAGCACACACCACAATGTCATGTTTTTCATCTTTGTTTTTCAACTCAATACTGCCCTTGGTTTTGCCTGGAACCTTCGTGCAGCGTGACAGGTGATACCACGTCCCGCTCCTTTCGACCAGGACTGCTGTGGGAGTAGCTCGCACCACCGTGTACGGTCCTTCCCGTCGTGGTTCGTGCCACTTCCTGCACTGAAGTAGAGTTCACCAGGACCAAAGTGCTCAGGTCTTCTCCTCGTTCTTTTTGCCACCCTCCTCAGAGGACGGTGATGTACACCTGGTGCTCTGGCTCGCCTGGCCTCCACCTCTTGACCGGGATCAGATTTTGGCTCTCCTCCTGCTAATCGATAGATCTTTGCATCGAAGTTAGATGCCTCATATATTTAATTCACTAATTTTCAGCTGCTCAAGCGAAAAACTTAATTATTTAGCCGCAGTAAAGCATAGCTTTGTAAGTTAGTCAATCATGCAGTGAAAGATTTATCTCAGTGCTTTTGATTGTGAGAGCTCATAAGCGCAAGTAGCAAAGCATCTTCCTATAGGTTAGTGTTAGTGCAAATTCTCTGATCAGATATTTACTTGAGAGATTAACTTTCTTCCCCAAAATGATGTACCAATTCATGCAATGACAGATTTATTTTGACTCCAAGATCTTTTGATGGTGTTGCTTCCATCCATCGACTGAACCCGTCATCCTTACAAACATGTAACATCTCCCTGGCAGTTTTAATCATGTCCACATTGCCTATGAATAGATTTCTAAAAACGTCTCTCTGGAACTGGAAAAGTGTCCCACTTCCGTTTTATTGTTCTCTTCAATTCATCTAACAAAACGCATATCACAATGACCCAAAAGTTTATCACCTATTGTCAGCATATTCTAAAAATGTCGTTTTAATTGTCTCATCATCTCCCCCTTTCACAGCGTGAATCACTGTGAAAGTCAGATCCTAAGTCTGTTTGTTAATACTATTGGTACAAAGCTTAGTTATTTGACTCTAAACCATTTTCAGTGGCCTTATTGACCTTTGATAGCTTCCTATTACTTTTACAGGTGGCACATCTGTGAGGAGTGTATGTGGATTCAGCACAGCTGCATTTAGATTTATCAGTATTAAACTAACAGAACAGGAATGTTACAATGTTAATGTCACGATATTTACTTTAAAACTATAAACCATAACTGTCTACTTACACACCTTGCGGTGAGCACCAACTTTGAATGTTACTTCTACATAGATCCTTTCGGTCTATAAGGTCAACAGGGTTAGAATTAAAACTAACAATTAACTTTTTCCATCATCCACAAAAATCACACTGTAGTAAGCCACCACTTTCACATTGTCTGGGCTGGGGCCCCCCACCACAGCTCCAGCCAGAGACGTCCCTGGTCTGGGCAGTTGTCAAAAATGTCTGGTATGATCCCATCCCCAGCAGGTCTTTAGACGTCACACGTCCGTCAGAATTCCACTCTCTCCCCCTGCCGGGATATATCCTCTCTATGGAGCAGGGTTCTGTCTGAGGATAAACATTCACAACAGGTGATTAAACAGGTTACTGTCACAGGTTTTACCGCAGTTAGCATCTGCACGGTCTGCATCGCTGGGTCTCTTTTTGCAGTGTCTTCCTTAGAGGTGGCTGTTTCAACTTCCGCTTCCGCTTTCGGTCTCCGCTCTTCATCTGGCAGCACCCTCCACATCACATCACACATCACATCACAATATGCATTGAACTCACTCCCATCTCTCATGGGATTCGTCATTCAACCTTGTTTTGCCTTGCGCAGAAACTCCTCCATCGTCTTAGTTCCCAGCAGTTGAGCCAAGAGTGCTTTCATGTCTGGTGTAGTCAACATTTTCCTACAGTTCATCCTCAAAAACTTGTATCCATCTCCCTGCCCCCTGTTCAGTTCGTGGTAGTCTGGCAATCAGCCCAACAAGGTGTTTGGTTTTCCACGGCACATAGCTAGCCTGTGTGCCATTTATTAAGATTGAAAACATACTATCAGTGCATTTCCAAGCGAACATAATCTAGGCCAGGGGTGTCAAACTCAACCACAGCAAGGGCCATAATCTGGATTTAGGTCTAACCTCAGGGTCAAACAGGATCAAAATTTCACTAAAACTGTCAATTTCCTTTTCAAAACATATGGGAGGAAACATAGCAATGATTTTAAATCATTTGGAAATTCAAAAGAGATAAAATAATAATAATAAATAATAAGTCTTGAGGCAGCCTAAGATAGAAAAATTTTAGTTTTTATTCTATTCTTATTTATTAGTTCAAAAGATCAGAGCATGATTTAAAAAGAGAAAAGTAATGAGGAATGAGGAATGGGGGGAGAAGTAATGCATTTAAAGAGCAAATACACAAGAAGACCGTTGAAATCAGGTTCAAAAAGGTCCCAGTATGACTTAAAATCTAAAATTGGACTCTAAAGTATAAAAATGACAAAAATCTAAGTGCTGAGTTGAACACGTCCGGTACTTTTAGTTCCATATCTCTTGTTTTTGCGTGTTTTACTTTTCTTTATGTTTATGGTCTTAGATTCGCTGCTCCAAATCCTCACACACAGCCACATCAGATGTGCCTCCCCTAGGTCATAAAAATTCAAACCCCTTGTCTCAATGTTCCCATTTCTTTGTAAGTTTTTGGATATCATTTAAGTGTTCAGTATATTTACACCCTACCAATGTGTATCTAATCTTCCCTTTCTGGTCATGCTTTTTGTAAAATTTATTATTCAAATGAGCACACACATTAAAACTTGATCAGCAGTTTTGTAAAATTCCCCAAAAATACACAGTATAAAGCTTTTGCCTCAACTGCAGTTCTATAGCAATAGACAGTATTGATATTAACAGCTTCAATAATATTTTAAAAACACAGTATTTTGGCAAAAACAGCAGATGTATAGAAGCAACTCTTAGATTTGAAGTTTTAGAAGTTTTGCACTTGTGGTACCTCATTTCTCTTTCCTTTTTGTATCTTTTATGCTTTTACAAACATTATTTCAGCAGCTTTAACACAGAAAATTTGTTAAGTAGCACAAGACGTGTTCACAACAAAAAACCATAATATTTAAGCATAAGCTAAAACCTTCATATCAGGAGTGTTCATCATGGTACTGGGAACAGAACCTCTTTCCCAGGAGTATTTAACCTTCTATGTCTCAACTGATAACATGACCGCAATGAGCACAGTATTCACATAAACAACTATGAAATAAACACAAGTGTGGAACACAGCAATCTTTGACTAACATAGCACACACACAGGTGCAGAGTCTGACTGTGAACACTGCCAGAGAACTTAGTTGACACAGAACAAAACAGACACACACAAACATCCAATCAACCCACACACTTCACTCTTTCATCTCACAATGGTATACCCTTTCACACGTGTTTGAAGTCAAAGTCAGTCACTGGAGTCAGTCAGCAGTCTTCTATTTTAATTCTTGTTTTGATTTCTTCAATTTTTCCAATTTGTGTGATTTTTCCAATTTATGTGATTCTTCTACAATCGGTCAGGAGATATGGGACGTGCTTGTTCAATTGGGATCCCTGAATAGGCTTTTCGGCCTACCCTTATTGACCTCTTTTTCTATCTCCTGCTCATCAAGCCAATCTGTATCTGTCAGAGCTCATAAAACAAAAAATTGCCCAAACTCACAGTTCAACAACGGACAGACACACTCGTGCCTGCCACTCCCCTTGTTATCCCAAAAATTACCCAGAACCTTTTATCACCAGGCATTCAGCTTAGAAAACACATCACAACCCGGGCCCGGCTGTCTCCCCACGCTACTGGCCAGTGCTTTCCTGCACCCAGCCTATAGTTTCTCACATAGTCTCACGCATGTAGCAGCGTGAGGCGGTCTGACACAACCAACTGATTCGAAGAGGACAGAGAGCAGTAGTCCGCACCACCTCACAGGGAAAAGAACTCTCAACCAAATTTTAGGAAATCTCCTACCTTTTTCTTTTTGTGGCCACAGAGTGTCCTTATCCCATGTGAAGTTCGCAGAACCATGGTCCCTTGTCCCCCGAAACGAATTCTGGCTAAATTATGCCACTGGTTTACCCAATGTTTATATTTGTAAAACAATGCTATGTGTGTTTTAAAATGCACACAATGTTTATATATTTGTACTGCAGGTACGATAGTTTTAATATTCAGCTTGCTGAGGGAAAGGAAGAGAGAAAAAACAAAAACTGCTCGCCAGGTCTCGGAACTTTAGGGGAGAGAAGGGCGGGGGAGCTCTCACGAAGGTTGGGGCTCCTCACCGAGTGAGGGCTGTATGTCTTGGATCCCAAAAAAAATGTGGGGGGGGGGGTTTCTCACTAAATGAGAGTAATAGCGGGGGAGAGAGGGAGCTTTATTTTTGGCTCACGCAAAGGTGGGGGCTCGTTCAGGGCTGAGTGAGAGCGGAATTGACCTCACTTCCCCTTTTACTTCCTAGTTCTCTCAGTCTCAGTCTGACTCTCGGACTGTCAACTTCTCCTGTTTCTGTCTCTGCCACACCCTACTACACAACACACAACTGCCTCAGCTTACACACTCTAACTGCGTCTTTGCTCAACCTCTCTCAGACTACTGTACCAACACCAAATTCTGCTTCACCAACAACCTTACGCACACAATCGAAAAGTCCAACCCCACCAACAATCTGTTTTGTGTCACAAATCTCCCAACTTTAGGCACCATATACAGAGCCGTGGCAACACAGTTAATCTTAGCTTGCTTATAGGATTCCTGCAACCACCTTGTTAAACATTTACCATTATTTACATGTTAGTTTGCACCATGCACACACACAACACACACATCAGGAGAGGGAGAGAAAGGAAAAGAGCGATCAAGTACACACGGACCGGTCCTCAAACACACACACTTTTGGGGTTTTTCTATTTTTTATTCGTCAAATATACTTTTGTTTAGTTTTTCTTTTCGGTGAATTTTTTGAAGGTATTCTATTTAGTTGGCTGATTCATAAAGATAACGCGTTGATCATCCGTGTTTTCCGTGGTGTCAATTTGGAAGGAAGTTGTGGATCAAACAACTCCTACCTTATAAATTTTCAATACCTCCAATGTCCAATGTTCCGTGTGATTGACTTCAGTTCTCAGATTACAGTTTTGTTTGTTTTCTTTATTTCCCGTTATTTATTATGAGAAATGCGTTCGTTTCATCTATAAGTTTTTGTGGATATACGTTAAAATGTGCCCATACTTAGCGACAGACCTGACATGTAGCGGGATTTCCCAGCAAGTGTGATTGAACTTTCGTTTACAGTCCAGTCAACCACATCTAAATCTGTTCCATAATTCCTAGTGGATTTCTCCACGTTATTTATATTAGATAAGTCTGCAACCTGCAGGGTTTCTGCCTTTCGAGCTCAGTAAAAGGTCCGCCCCAGATTGCAGCACTTAACATGGGGTGGTCTGTCCAGGTTCCTCGCCTTTCCAGACTTCCCCGGGCTCCGCAGAGCAGTATCTCTGAGGTCTGTCCAACCTCATCGGGTTAAACTTTTACACAACTGCCAGGGCTTGGCTGCCGGCCAATTATCCAATCGCGCGCCGTGAACTCTATGCCCATAGGATTTGACTTCCCGGCATCTTGTTCACCCACAACACAGATCCGCTCTGCTGATCACTGTTCTCGGGATCTGTTAGCGATACTTCTGTGCCCCCGTAAATATTAAGCTCGAGGCCTGTTCGCTTTACTCCTACTATCCCCGTAAGACACAAGTCAACAGACACTTGGCCAAGATTTTCAGCTGCTTTGACGCCAATGGTTAATTTGTCTGTCTCACAATTTTCCACACACTTTGGAGCAGCCTTCATGTATACATGAATAACACGCGAGAGACTCCGCCCGATTCTGCTTCCTTTGATTCTAGACTCTTTCTTTTGCGAAGGCCCAAACACACGATGGTCTCACCACACAGTGAAATCACACATCTAATAGAGAAATAAACTACTCCTACCTTTTGTGTGCCGGCACGTGGATTTCACTCGCGTGGGGAGGCCAACGCCCCGGGCCTCGGCAAAATCTGGGCTGAAGCTCGCCAATTATTTAGAAGATGACCTCGGTGCAAAAGTGCAGAAATGAACTACACGAAGACAGAATCAAGCTGGCAGCCTCTCGGCGGGGTTTTTATTCCGATCACAGCATTGAACAATAGCTCATGAGCAATCGAACAGACAGAACCAAAAAACAGCCCATCCACATATCTTTTATAGTCCTCCATTGACGTCAGGGACCTTAGTTTTAGCCAAATGTGCGTGCGAAAGTCCCCTTCGTGACTTTCTCTTTTGGAGCCAGATTTCCTGTTATTGTAATTAAGCTACCATGGGAGAGGGTCACCATGACCTGATATGAAGTTTATCCCAATCTGACCACTCCACCCATAACCTGTTTTCTTGCCTCATGGTAACCTCCAAAACATCCAAACATATCTGTTATTTTCCCCCACACCCACATGATGGTGACAACAACACCATGACAGATTAGATCACGGACTATATAAACTTCTGTGCTGAGAACAACGTACCCACCAGGAAAGTATGGTGTTTCTCCAACAGCAAACCCTGGGTGACCCCAGGACTTAAAGTCCTCCTGAAGGAGAAGAGGAGGGTCTTTAAATCTGGGGACAAGGAGGAGCTGAGGAGGGTGCAGAAGGAGCTGAAGAAGAAGATCAGAGAGGGAAAGGCCAGCTACAAGACCAAGATGGAAAACCTTCTGCAACAGAACAACGTGAGGGAGGTCTGGAGAGACCTGAAATCCATTCCAGGTCACAGCAGGGGCCACGAGAGGGGACCTGAAGCAGGAGACAGGGAGTGGGCCAACAAGCTGAACCTGTTCCTCAATAGATTTGCCTCTGCTCCCACTCCCCCCCGTATACCACTTCAGTTCTATGGCACCGGCATAAGATGAAGCCAAGGAAAGCCACGGGTCCTGACGGCATCAGCTCCAGACTCCTGGAGGACTGCACAGACCAGCTCTGTGAGGTGCTACTGCACATCTTCAGCTTAAGCCTGAGTCTGTAGAGGGTCCCAGCACTGTGGAAGACTTCCTGCATGATTCCTGTCCCCAAGACAGTACACCCCAGGGAGCCCAACCACTTCAGACCTGTGGCCCTCACTTCTCACCTGATGAAGACTCTCGAGAGTATAGTGCTGATCCTCTGCAATTTGCATACCAGCCGAACATCGGGGTGGACGACGCAGTCATCTACCTGCTGCAGAGGTCCATGGCTCACCTGGAGAACACCCGCAGCACTGTGAGGGTCATGTTTTTTGACTTCTCCAGTGCTTTCATCACCATCCAGCCTTCACTGCTCAGGGGGAAGCTCGAGAGGGCTGGAGTGGACTGTCACCTAGCCGCATGGACCGTGGACTACCTCACTGACAGACCACAGTTTGTGAGGCTTCAGAACTGTGTGTCGGACATAGTGGTCTGCAGCACAGGGGCTCCACAGGGGACAGTGCTCTCCCCCTTCCTCTTCACCCTGTACACATTGGACTTCAGCTACAACTCTGGGAGCTGTCACCTCCAGAAGTTCTCTGATGATACAGCCATCGTTGGATGTGTATTGTCAGGGGATGAGCGGGAATACAGGACTGTCATCACTGACTTTGTCAACTGGTGTGGCACAAACCACCTCCAGCTAAACGCCAGTAAGACAAAGGAGATGGTTGTGGATTTCCGCAGGAGGAGGACACCTCAGACTGTTCCAGTGAACATCCAGGGTCTCGACATCGAGATGGTGGAGTCCTACAGATTCAGTACTGGGTGTCCACCTCAACAATAAACTAGACTGGTCAACCAACACAGACGTACTGTACAAGAAGGGCCAAAGTCGTCTCCACCTCCTGAGGAGACTGAGGTCCTTTGGAGTGTGCAGGACTCTGCTCAGGACTTTCTATGACTCTGTGGTAGCATCTGCACTTTTCTATGCAGTGGTCTGCTGGGGGGAAGGGAGCACCGAGGGGGACAGGAAGAGACTGAACAGACTGGTCAGGAGGGCCACTGTCCTGGACTGCTCTTTGGACTCCCTGGAGGAGGTGGGTGACAGGAGGATGTTAGCATAGCTTGTATCCATCATGGACAATCCCTCTCACCCACTGCACCAGATTGTGGGGGCTTTAAGCAGCTCCTCCAGCAGCAGACTGAGACTTCCACCTTGCCAGACGGAGCGCTATCGCAGGTCAATTCCTCCCTTCTGCAATAAGACTTTACAACGAACTGCAATAAAACTGGACTCACACCACTACTTTTTTTCTGGTACTTAAATTGTGTATATTGCATATAGTTTTATTTTATTTTATTTTATTTTATTTTATTATTATTAATTTTTTTCTTCTCCCCTTTTTCCTTTTTCTAAATTTTTCTTAATTATAACATTTATTTAAGTTCTTAATATTACGATCTTTATTTTTATAACTGCATTTTGCACTACCTTTGTCTGTGATGCTGCTGTGGCAAAAAAATTTCCCCCATGGGGGATCAATAAAGGAATATTCTATTCTATTCTATTCTATCCTATTCAACTCACAACAACCTGTTTTTAATGAATTATTGTTTATGTGTTCAAATAAGTAGTGGTTCTTTATGTAAGTTGCCACCCAGCGCTAAACCTAAAGCTGCGTTCAGACCAAATGCTACTTGAAGTGACCTAGTTGCGTTGGCCGCTGTAATCGCGTCGCACCCTGGTGTGTTCACACCGGGTCCAAAGCTGCAGTCGCGGAGGTCGCGTGACACAGCTGGTCGCCGCTAACCCGCTTCTCCCACCTTCCTTCTCCCTCCTTTTCTCCCTCATATATACATCCCGCAGGCGCTTCCAGCGCTTGCGGCACACATCCACTGCAAAGACACACACAGACACACACGTTAAAACATGTAGCCTAGCAAGCAGGGGCAGTTTGCTATGTTTTCAGAAAATAGTCTGGTCACTGAAATAAATAAACAAACAAACTTACCAGAAAGCCCGACATCATTGGCCACCTTTGCCCATGCTTCCTCCTTGGGGATGCGGTCCCGGTAGAACGCGCACCCCACGTCGTACAGGACCGGGTGATAACTCACGGCAGTGAAAAGCTGCTCCTCCATGGTGATTCTTCTTCTCCTCCTTGCTTTGCGGGTGTGTTGACATCAGCAAAGCCCTGATTGGCTGTCACGGCATGGAGTCGCGGAAAGTTGCTCCCAAAGTTCAAATATTTGAACTCGAAGCGACGCGACTTGGCGTCCTGCAATCTGGGGCGATGCGACTTTGGCGAACATGCGCGAACTGCTCACGTCGTGTCGCCCGCAGCCGGCAATTGCCTAGTCGCGTCAGGTTGTGGCTGTACATAGACTTTGCATTGGAAGTCGTTGCTCAAGTCGCCAAGGTCACGTTTGGTCTGAACGCAGCTTTAGAGTGGTTATCTGCTCTGTCTCATTTTTAAGTGTGTTTCTCTATAAAAAGTGAAGCGCAAACATGACTTCAGAGTTTTGCAGCTCTGTGCATTTTGCTCTTGATTTGTCTACGCTGGTATAGACATGCTGCGCTGTGCTCTCTAATCCTAATGAAGCTCCAATCTGAGGGAACACTTCTGTCCAGTGTTTTGTGAAGCAGAGGTACTATTATGATACACCCATTTCCGTTCAGTTTATTCATCTTTCTGTTTCCCTGACATACTGATAAGCAGCTGGCTGACCATCATCTTCACACCTTCAGCTGATAAGGTCCTGGTCGTGGGATTTAAATTCAAAAGGTCAAAAAAATATAAATTGGAGTCTGGTTTTTAATACAAGTTCAAAAGGAATCCACAGCTGGTTTGTTATGCCAGAGACATCTCACATCAAAATATCCCTTCAATATACTGCTTGGATAAATATCAGCTTCATCACAGAGAGTGTTGCGTGAGGAGAAAACGGAGACAAAGACACACAAGCAGAATATAAAAACTCAAACATAATTTCTTAAATAACTTCAATAAAATAAAAGTTGTTTCTATCAACAGATACAAGACTGTATGTCAGATTGTGTTTATGCACAAGCAAGGAAGATCCCACCATCATGTCTTGATGCATGTAGGCCTCTGAGGACAGATATACAGACATCGTTGTCAACAGCAGCTGCAGCCCGGATCAATCCAGTCAATGATGATAATAATTCAGACATCATGATTGGCTCATCTGACCAAGAAACACTCTGAAAGACAAGCACCCCTCTACAGAGAAAAAAAACACTTTTTTATTGAGATAACAGCAGGGCCCTGAGGCAGCGTTTCTCTACACCAGTATCAATGGTCGAAGAAAGCTGAAGCCCTGTCTCTGTTTTTAATCCCTCCTTGTTTTGTGTTCTGGTCCATAATGAATATTAAAGCCTGATGGTGGTGGCCTGAAGGCTTCCCGAGTCCACCATCTTTATCTGGAGGTGATCAAACCGTCTTTATGAGAGAAGATGGAGGAGTTAAAAGAGGCCAGACAAACCGTGACACTTGTTAATGTATTTATGGTGAACAGGAAAAATGGGCAACCACTTAAGCTCAAGATGGGGGGAGAAAAGCAGAGGAGCTAGGGAAGGTCGATGCTTGATCACAGCCTTGGAAATGTTGCTGATGTTATTTTTCATCTTGAGAAGAAGAGAGTAAGTGGTCATGACAAGTCTGAGAGGGAGGAGGGGGAGTGGAGGTTCGAATTACCAACACAGGCTCAAAGAGCTGTTTGATGTTCAGATGCTGTGATAAATTATTGATGCAGAGCCTGTTAAATAAGGCCAGTGCTCATTTGATTACAGATCTCATTAGGACTTTACAAAATATGCTTTAATAACAAAATCCATCAACATAATCGCTATGTAAAGAGATTGAGCACTGTCATTACACAAAGCATGCAGCTATGATATTGTTCCTGTAGGCTGCAGATTTACACACTCAAAGCCCTCGTATATGTGCTCAAATTTAAGACTCTCATAAAGAGGAACAACCTGAATCAGACTGAAGATAAAGAATGTAATACTGGGTCCAAATGTACTTCCTGATACTATTATGCAACTCTGTCTTTAAGCCAAGCCCTGAAAACTTTAACCTAATATCTGAAGAAAAGCCACACACTTGCTATGGTTGGCACCTAGATAAAACACCTAGGTTTAGATCGGAGGTCCGTTTCACGTAGCAGGTTTAATGGAAACTCAGAGTCTGTTAACCCTGAAATCAGGGAAACTCTGAGTTTTCCATTTCACAAAGGAGGGTCAGTTAAACCAAAGAGAGAGGGGTAACTCTAACCTGTTTCACAAAGAGAGGTAACTCAACCTCGCGGTCAGTTACCATAGTGACAGACTCCGTG